TTCTCGTGAGCAGTTCATGCATTGCATGATTCAATATGGCAATGTGAGCTACCCATTGCAAAGTGATTTGAAACTTGTGTGGTGGAATTATTAGTTAAAAACAGCTCAAAGGTCAATAAAACAATAAAATTGAATATAAACAGATGTATACTTTTACAAATTATAGTATTGAAACCATGATGGTTACTTTGTAGTTACAAACTTGATCACACCAATTGAGCTCATAGTAAGAGGGTTCATTCACTCCACCTTTCTCTCATTCCTGTTTTGCTCTTACACAATATTTTAAGAAAACATATAGTTTCTCTTGTTGCCATAAGTACTTATTGCATCATCTATTGAACCTTTCTCTTCTGAGAAGCTAATAAAAGTCTAATAAAAGGTTACGAGATGGTTTTGGGCCCTCTTCAAAAGAGGTATATGGTGTCCCACCCCACTTCATGCACGATATACTTCTATATAGTTCTAAAGTGAAATAATATTAATGTGATAGTAAGGAACCACTAAGACCATAGTGAAACAAACATTGTGAAACCAGCTTGTTGTACATTGTATCTTTCTCTTTAACTTCTATCACAAATCAGATTTGCATTATATTAATCATTAAAATATAATTGAGAAAATATTTTTAAAAAAGCATTTAAAATCATAAGATCAGGCACCACCAACAGATTATGAGCAAGAGGTAATATGATTAAATGTTAAAATTATGATAATAAATTAAAATACCAAAACTTCAGTATCAGCTGTAAACTGATCTATCCTTGCTCTATTTTTTATGATTAAATACTTCAGTATATATACATCCAAAACAGTTTGAAAGTAATATAACATGACCCAGTATAGAGTGTAAGATGTGAGAAATCACTTGCATTAATCTTATTATACAGCATGTACTTGGCTCTAATTATGTCTTTTTAATGGTATTAAATAAATTCTTTTTGGTACTTCTTGTTTAGCATCTGTTTTAGGCAGGTTTCCAGGAGCTGTGAAGGTTATTATTATTAGCCTATTCTTTGAAATAGTTATAGACTCCACACAAGTAAAATGCTTTATGAACACTTAGAACAAAGCTTTTGTTGCATTTCATAAGAAGTAATGTAATGTGTAAACATGACAGTGTCCTTTAATGTTTAGACCTCATCGCTCAGCCACAGTAACAATAGTTATCACAATTAGTCACTTCTTAACTAGTGTATCAAAATGTATACAGTAATTCTGTTAGTTTTAAGTACATATCTGAAGAAATCTATGACTATGCATGAAAAACAAAATATTTTCTTTGCTCAAAATTTCAGAAAGAATACTTTTCAAAGTAAACTTTGGAACACTTACAACAAATTACACCTATTTCAGGAATTTATTTTTAACTAAGTTTTGTATTTTCTGACATGTATGCAAAAACAGTGAATAATATTATACCTTAGTTTAAGAAGCAGTGAAAAGGGTACTTTACTTGTGGCCTTAATTATAGTAACATTGTAGAACTAGAAAAAACACTTTATAACAAAAGGTTTGTTTTATTTAACAAAATTTACAATATGTGTCATACTACATTTGTTGATAACTTCAGGGTAGGGATAACTGTAATATGCATATATGAATACTGAAATATATCCATATAACCATTTACAAAGACATGAATATACTTAAATAACATAGAAGATGCATGTATAATTATCTTAAAATATATGATAAACCTAGAAGACTGTGTTAAATTAAGTCTAATTATCCAAGTACAAGTTATTTTATTAAGCTTAAGACTAACATTACAATAATCCATCCAGCAGAGTTTTTGGCCCTCCACTAGTGTTAAAGAAGGTCAAATTAGCAAGGAAGGCAATGTGTTTGAATAATCTTAAAGAATCATTTCAACATATTTTCAGTTTCTAAGTGACTGAAAGATTAAAAAAAGAGCACAAGTGAAATCTTAATATCATATTTACACCATTGTAGAGTATGTGAAAGAAAATGATCTGGAATATATTACACTTTATCTCAGAATTCGATCATACACCAAAAAAAGTTACAATTTTGTGATTTGAGCGTGTTAAGATTATCAAATACCAAAATGAAATGTTATTTTGGTGTTTATGAAAATTATTTTACTCACATTGTGAAATGTACAATACCAAATAAGCAAAGAACAAAAGAGAAAAAATGAAACAGCTGCTTTGATCTTTATGTAAAATAATTTAAATTGTGAAATGTAAAATACCAAACAGGCAAAGAACGGAACATGAAATAACATTTCATTTTGTCTTTAATAACTTTTACAAGCTCAAGTCTGGAAATGGTAATTTTTTCGGTGAATGACTAAGTCCTAATATCAAGAGTAACATATATACACTGTTTTAAAAATGCACTGTCCATTCTGGAAGCTTTACAGTAATTACAAAACATTTTTTCCTCAGAAGCTCAACCAGTGATGGAACTAACTAAATTTTTTCTGGGTTTTCATCAGTATTATCATCCAAAGAAAAATCCACCACTGTCTTGATTATAAAAGTTTTATGCTCATTTGATTTTACTTCATCAACACTGGCTTAAATTAAAAATTATGCATTTTATTTTTGCTGAAATTTTACAAAACTTTTACTACCATACTCTCATTCATTTAAATATTCTAAATGAATCACAATGCATGCTTCTTCTTTTTTTCACCTGTACAATCAGCAATTCCTATATTTTTGTCTCAAGTCCACAACAATTCCTGTCTCTTTCATTCTGGATCTATAAATCACTATACGTGTCCTTCTGCATAATATGTCTTTGAATTTCTGGTCATTTTAGAGATCAAGTAACTGTGTGCTAGATTTGTATGCACATAATAAAATTTTGATTTCTAAAATCCAAAACAAAATTTAGTATATATATTTTGTGTTTTATAATGTGCACTCTCACAGAACACCTTTTAATCTTATTTGAACATTTTAAACAATACAATATTGTCATTTAAAAAAATTAAGGAAACCTTTTTATATCAGTGGGTGCTTCTATATAAATAAATTTTTATATATATTTTTTTTACCTTTTTTTAACTGTTTTATAAACTATGGTATTTAGTTTGAATGTGAGAGAGAAGTTTTTCTAAAATCTCTTTAGTGGTACTCATTTTATGTTTAATATCAAGACAAGACTTTTTATGTTGCTTCTGTTTTTCAACAAAAAGTCTTTCAAAATTTTCCTATATTTCAAACATTTCAGTTTAAGCAGGAGCATAACTGAGTACATCTAGACAGAAACACTCATCTTTACACCCCTCAGTCAATCTTGTTTAAATGTATAAACACTTTTCTTTCTCTTCAAAATAAAAACAAAAGCCTTTATGTTATTGGATACTTTTAAACATAAAAACTAGGTATACTTACATCTGTCAAAGTTTTAATTTTGCTTAAACAATTCAACATACAAATTTTACACACACTTAACATCTTTGAGAGGATTGGAGATCTGTGAAGGCTCATTCTAGTTTTTATAATCGGAAATCATTATTTGTCGATATTTGTTGAGCTTATTAGCTTGATAAACTCGAATTTGAAGCTTAAACTAAGATATCAGGAATTCCAAGAAGATTAAGAGAACTTGATAATATAGTTTTATATGCACTGTGTGTGCTTTAAATCTACTATACAGTTTATTGCCAGGCCACTTAACATATTTTCACCTCAGAAAAATCCAAGAACTTTCAGGGACTTAGTGGATCTTGGACCTCCACATGAACTTACCTACCTCCTCAAATTGAATTTAAAATGGTGTTGTTCCATGACATCTGGTTGATCTCTGTCTTCTTAGCTGGCTATGGCTTCTACATTCAACTCATCTCTAAAAAATCAGCATTTCCAACAACTGGGGCTCCACTTGATCAAGTCACATTTTTGGCTTCTAGGCCCTTCCTTTCATTGACGATGTTTAATAGCACATGTTCTCTTGCTTGAACACTTCTCACCAGTTTCCTTGAGTTTATGTAAAGAATATCATACAAATACATGCAAATGCATTTCTCAATGCTACTTAAACTATATCTGTCCCTGATATACTCAATCTCTGGCCCCTTCATTATCAACAGGTATGTTCCCTTACTCAGGTAAAGTAAACTGTGTTAAAGAGATAACTGGCAAACCACCTTTAAAATAGATCAGTTGCATGATTTTCAGGTTTTATTTCTTTCACTTTTCTTACCCACACACTCATTTTATTCCTATCTCTCATTCACATTGTCATTTTCATCAATATTACAAGTTTGATGCTGTGTAAAATGGCACCCTGAAACTCACCTTGACACTCACTTTTCCATGTTTTTTAAGTGTTATATTTGAACTTTTTATGAACAGTTAATCTTTACTGTAATATTTTATATTTAACTTTTTGTTTCTTGTTTAAACTTGGAACATCATGCATTAATCCCAAAGCTATATTTAAAACCTAAATTTGCACTTCAGCTTTACTTTTAACTGAAATTGCAACTTGACGAAAGACTACAAGTCCCCATAGTACAGTAGTATTAATTTCAACTTGACAGATGACCCCAAGTTTCTATAATACAGTAACATGGGTTTGTGTTCATGAAATTGTAGTAGCACTGTTTCAACAAAATAAAAAACATGTTTTGTAGATGATTAAACAGAGAAAGAATATATATACTGCCAAAATAAATAGTTATATTTTGTCATGATTTTAAAAATTTATATATGGCATGTTTAAATTTTAAAGTTTGTGAAATATATCTTAGACTTATCTTATGTCTGTGTTTTTGAATTGTCATAAGCAAGAAATTCTTAAGACTTCTGAATATCATAAAATGTGCATTTTAATATAATGTTACTTAGAAAGTATTATCATTTTATTCAACATCACTGTTTTATGTAATGCATAGCATCAAGTATAAATAACAGCTTTGTAACAGTTAGAAGATTAAAGTGGAAATCCTAATACAAAACATTGTCTTACAGATGTTTTTCTTTTTAATTGAGTAATATGCATTTTTTTCACATGTTAAGTTTCGAGTGGAGTCTATGATGCTTCGTTCTGCCAAGCCCCACAAATATGTGCCTGTTACTCCAAGTATTCAACAGCGTGCCAGGGCTAGAGCTCCTGAAAGCATCCCTTTAATTATGGAACCTGAATCCCGATTTTACACAAATCCAGTTCTGGTGTTGGACTTTCAGTCTCTTTATCCATCCATCATAATTGCCTACAATTATTGTTTCTCAACATGTTTAGGACGACTGGAGCATCTAGGAAGGTAATATTGTGTTAGTAATTTTAAATTAGTGGAGGATTGTAAAGTTATTTTTGTGTAACCATGGTTAATAAGCTAAGGTTATTTATTACCGTTAACTTGGGTATCACAATGAAAAATAAAAATATTCTGGTGTATTCATTAATTTATAGTATTAATTCATTATCTGAAATCCTGTGTGACTAGAGTAAGGTTATTAATATAACCAGGATATTTTATAGAATGGTTCTACTAAACCTGAAACAATAATCTGGTATTTTATGGTAACATTTACTGCATGTACAGTATCTTAACCATTATAATGCCTTCAGTAGTATTTTTCTTTTTTGGTTTTTGCTGATCCTATAATTATGTGTAAATGAATGTAGATGATCAAAGATATACTTGATAGTCTAGAACAGTATGGCAACATTATTAACTAATTTAAAAAAAGTTGAATTTTATGTCAGAGAAAATACAAGTTTTATTTAAATTCTTACTTTAACTTATAAAATATTAAATAATTTTTATTTAGTTTTAGTTCCAACAAGGTACCTTACTTCTACTCACATACATAGCTATTTTCGTTCAGTTCTGCTCTATGTTTGCAAAAATATTTTGCATGGCACAAGCCTTTCACTTACACATACCCCTTGATTCACGTGGATTAACCAATTCTTGCATGCAAATTATTATGCGACAAACCTCCACCAATAGTAGTGTCACGCACCCGTGTGTCTCATGTGACTTCTTCTATGCAAATCTACCTAACTATCACTTCTCTTTGGCAGTGCTTGTGTTCAGACATTTAGTTTCTGCTCTCTTTAAGTGTTTTTTTTGTATCTTCATATCAATTTCTCTCACCAAGTTTAGTATTTATTATACAAAAGTGATATTTGTAACTTACTCCAAAGTGAAATTATTTTATATTTCTACCCAGTTACGCAACTTTATACATCATTACAATTTTTTTTTTACTTTTATTTCTTTTTTGCTAATACGGTTGTGTTTGGTTATTCATTTTGAATATGAATTCCGAATTCTAAGTCACCACATCAGAGATTATATCTTCTATCAGAACATTTACACAGGCTTTAGTTGGTGGTCCTCCACTACTTCATCTGGAGATTGATCATCCAATGAGCTTACCTTTGTCAGGCCTTGACTCGAGTTTGAGGGCACACACATTTTGAAATACTGTCCGCCAACTTTGGAAAGATAAGGCATTATACTGTTATGGTTTTTAATATTTTTTACTGTTAATATTATTACTGTGTTTTTTAAACACACTTCACAATATATTTTTCCCATCCTTCTCCAGACATTATGTTTCATGATAAGCATTTTTGTCTCTTTTGGAAGATGGTACTTGCATGCCTTGCCCTCCATTGGCTTTGGTTCAATTTGTCTTAGCTTACCATCAGACAGAATCTCTGTCACCTGTATGGGGTCAGTCTTTGTTAATTCTATTCATTTGATCTCCCACCTAATTTTCCAGCTTTGTCTTACCCTACTGACTCTCCTACAGGAAATGTCGACCTTACACCTCCTTTCTTGGGCATTCCACTTATATCTAGGGGATTGTCATGTGATACATATTCCACCTTCCCCTCCATGTTTGGCATTTGCCATCTTCAGTTCTTTCCCTTCACACTTGACTTCATTGCTTCTAGGATTGTCTGGGGTGGGACACTTTGTACCATTTGTTTACCTGTCCACTTCTAATAGGGACTTACATTTGGCTCTTTTTCTACACCAGTCCATTTTTTTGGGCTACTCCTATGCTTCACTTGGGTATCTATGATGCTCTATTATTTTTATTTTTTTGTTGCTCTTTTGTTTCATTCTGAGTCATTGCCATCTTTACTCATGCTCCATGTTCAATACCTTCTCATCCTTTACCTGTCCTATCTATGGGTTTCTCTATTTATTGTGTATGCACAATGCTGATTGTAATTCTGGATGGATCGATCCCACCTGAATCACTTCTTGGTTCTTCCCAATTTTTAATATGTAGTCTTTGATCACAATCAGGTGGGCAATTTCTGCTGGACTGAGAATGCCCACGGTACACATTCTTATTTTTCACTTCTTAGGAAGCTATCTTAGGTTTTTTCATCACATGATTCTGTAACAGTTTCATGTTTTGCCCTTCAGACTTGTTTCGGTTCTGTATGTGTTTTGTCAGGTGGTCTGCATTTTACCCAACTTCCACATTTTGGGGAATTTATTAACACCACTACTTGGATGTCTGGCTTCAGAATGGGGATGATCATACCACACTCATCTGCTTCTTACATAAACAGCTTGGGTAGTTGGATTTTTCAGTTGGATAAGTTTTTCTGTTACCTACTTAATATTCTCAGCTATATTGGGAGTGTCTTTCTAAACACCCAACTCCATCAGGATAATCCATTCTCCTCCTCGAATGCATTTAATGGAGCTTTCTGTTATCCATGCCATTACATTTCACTATCTTACTGCTAGTGAGGTTCTAATACATTGGGGATGTGGCTCTTATGGAAGCACTTCTCCATTTTGGTGTAGCACATATGTGATCTTTTCAGGAGTTGCTGAACGACCCATGATCTCTTGCTAGGGTTCCTTGGATTCTCCTCTTAACTTTCCTCCTTCCCTCTTCAACAATATGCATTGAAGATTGAACATATCCCCCACGTTTTTGGGTTTACCAATTCCTCCCCTTCATCTGGATTTGTTTGTTTTCCCTGATGCTCATCTCCAAAGTTGGAAGGCATGGGTCAATCAGTAGGGAGGCTTCAGGCAATGGGGGATTGAGGATTCTTTAACCCTTTTGCTGCATAGTCGGATTTACCCCACAGCTACCAGAAAAAAGTTTCCATCTACTACAACATGCTAGAATATCCCCCTGTACTTGAAACAGTTGCCAAACCTGAGTGCATGCTGTGTTCTATGCCATGAAACCTGGATGTTTATATGCCTCATTACAAAATTGCCAACTTTGCAGGAACACATATAGAATCTATATAAAGACAGCTTCTTTATATCTTGGATATTGTTACCTGAATAATTTGTTTTATATTTTATAATGATTTTGGCCTTTTATTGGCTTACTTTTGCCTATATTTATGCCAATACGGTTTTCAAGGAATATTACTGCCAAATATAGAAAATGCGGCTTCTTCCAATGTTGAAAAAGTAATACAAAGGATCAAATTCATACTTTTCTTTTTTGGCAGATAATTGACACTTTTGGGGAATGAACCTGACAATTAATTGCACACTGAAAGGGTTAATATATTTCCTTATAAGTTTAAGAACTTAAAACTTATATAATATCAAAATGTGATTTACTAACCACATTCTCTAAAATGTCATGATGTGCACCCTGACCTGCCCATGGCAAAAGGATTTACTAATCAAAATGCCTATGATTAAAAAGAGAAAATCACTCTAAATTTTATATCCGGGAAAAACCTGTTTTACAAGGACAAAATACTGTTTTAAGTGATATAAAAAGTCTTCTTCAGTATCATGCCTGCATGAAGGCATTGACGATCCTGAGTTTCCATATCTCTCTGTCCCTGGTGTTCTTTAACAATTCTGTGTTGTTACTCATGGTTCATAACTCTTTTGAAATTTCTTCAACATTTCTTAATCTTTTTCTTCCTTTGCTTCTCTTTCCTTCTATCTTGCCAGTTGTTACTATGTCCTCCATCTCTTCTTTCTTCATCACATGGACTATGAACTCAGCTTGTTTCTTTCTTATTTTCTTGATGATGTTGCATATTGTACTGGCTTGTACTAATACAGTGGTTCCCAACCTTTTCTCCACCAAAGAATTATAATATAAATTATTATATTATTATAATTTTTCCCCTACAGATCCCATGTTTTTGAGAGATTCCACCTACCCAACAAACTGTTTTTATTAACTAATAATTAACACATTCTCACACTTTTCACTGTCAAATAAAAGACATATATATAACTGAGTGTGCAATTAAAAAAACATCAGTATTAAAAAACTTACTTGTTTAATGAGAAGGTATTACCTATGTGGACCCCCAGGGGTCCATGAACCACTGTACTAATACTTGTTTATTACATTTCTTGTTAGTCCATGTTATTCTTAAGAACCACATTTCAGCTGCTTTAGGTTTTCTCTCAACTTCCTTTGTTATTGTCGATGTTTCACATCTGTATGTAAGTATGGATTCAATGTAACATTGTAAGACATTTTTTCTTACTTTTATTGATATATTATTGTATTTCAGTATAGCTTACATATTTAGAAAGGCATTCTTAGTAAGCATTATTCTCTTTTTAACCTCTTCTATGCACTTACCATCTGATGTTATTAATGAGCCAAGATAGATGAAACAGTGAATTTGTTTGATTTTTGTCTCATCAACTGTAATACTGCATTTTAGAATATTACTTTTCTTGGAGGTTACCGTACATTATTTTTTCTTGCTATTGACTCAATCCTTTTTTTCTTATTTTCATACCTCAAGTTGCTGATGTTACATCCTCTAACTTTAATTCCTGGCCTATTTTCTATACATCAGAATCATTTCACAGTATATTGAGAAAAGGTCTGGGGAAAGAACACATCCTTGTCTGACACCTCATTTTATTTCTTGAAAATGGCCAATATTTACAACCAATAATGGTCAACTGTTCACCCACACACACACACAGAAAGATTTGCAAAAGGAAATGTTTGATATGAGTCTTATCTTCCTTAGTGGAGTAAGACTAATTAAGCCATAAATAATAGTTAATCCATTGGATTAAATAACAAGATTTTTCCATATATATATATATAAATTGCCTTTCCTTTAATTATGACAGATATTTTTATATCTAACTACAAGTTTTATTGTTATTCATTTTCCATGTATAACTTTTAAATGTTTTTTTTTCCCTTCTTTCTGATACATCTATTTTATTCAGTGTCAGAGTTACTTTCATAAGCTCTGAAATACAGCTTTTATAAGGTAAATGTAAATTATTTTCCTGTCTACTTACTCTTGAATATTCAAACTTTGTAGATTATGTTTTTAGCTGATTACAAATGGTAAAACTTTGAATATTGATATTGCTAAGCTACATTGTTAAGACATAAAAGGTTTAGTAAAAAATTTTTTACTTTTAGCATTATGGTTTTTAGTTGTATGTTTTAGCAAGGGTTATTTTTTTATTAGGTGCAACAAATATCAACAATCATTTGAACTTTTTTTTTTCAAACTTAATGTAAATGTCAATTGTATGTATAGTTTATAGACCTTATGCAGTCATGTGACCAAAGTAAACACTGCAACAATTTGTAGCCATATTCGACGTAAACATTATTCGTGAAAACATGGCCTCCACTACACAATAACCTTGTTCTCCATTCATTTTTATGAATTTACTAGCAAATTAAACGATATATGACGTGACAGATCCTTATTTCATCCCGTTAACAATTACATTCATTCTAACCTAACCTAACCTTATGAAAGATTACAGCATTTCAACATTGATCAGAGGAAGAAAAGAAATTTTTGAAAATAACTTAAAGATTTCTAAAGTATTCTGGCAATTAACCAGGAGAATAGCACTAAAGTATGATAAAAGCATTAATTTTAGTTTAATTTTCATTTCATTTTCAAGTGTTTTATAAGTTGTTTTTGATTATACAATTTTATAGTTGAAATAAGTCTACGGACTCACAATTATAAAATCCAGGGTTTAATTCCCTGCATTGGGCACAGCAGATAACCCAGTGTGGCTTAGGTTCTAAGATATAGAAACAAACAAAAGTTGAAATAAAGAAACATTTTTCTACATTACAAGGTTCAAATGAACATGTACAGTTTATCACAACTTTTATTCGTATAACACCATGTGTGCTTACAGTGTGACTGTTTTTAACTGGTAGATGACTGTAAATTACCTGTATTTCACTTGGGAAGTAATTGAAACACTCCTTCTGGGTTTACGTGCATTCTTTCATACAGTAGCGTGCATGAAAAATATGATAAGTTTCAACTAATTCAGAAGTAAAATAGAGCTTACTAAGTGTGTAAAAAAAACAACAGAAAGTCGAAGAAAATAAATACTTGCTGCAGGTACTTTTCTGCTTGTTGAAAACAATATATATTTCCAGTTGAAAAGTTTAAAGTTTAATGAAGAGATATAGTTTTCCTGTAG